CTTATTGCAAAAGAAACATTTGTTTTCTTGAGTTTGTTTCTTTTGTTCTGGACCCTTAGCACCTTCTTTCTCGAGATCCTCTGATCTCTTTCTTTTGCCCTTAGCCTTGGAGGTGCTTGCAAAATGAGCACTTTCTGTCTTGTCTTGCTTTAGTCTTTCCTCTTCTTGTATGCAATGTGAAATGAGTTCATTAAGAGATCATTTATCCTTCTGACAGTTGTAAGATACCTTAAATTGATTAAACGTTGCAGGAAGAGAAATCAACACCAAATGAATGAGCAAGTCTTCTGAGAGTTCAAGCTTTAGTGCCTTGAGTTTAAAAACAATATTAGACATGCTCATAATATACTCTCTGATATTTCTTTTGCCCTGATATTTCATGGAGATCAAGTTCTAAAGAAGAGTGTTTGTCTCCGCCTTATCGCTTTTTGCAAAGCGCTGCTCAATTTCAGCAAGGAATTATTTGGCACTTATGATGTTTTCAGAAACAGTGCCCCTAAACACCTCCGGGATGCCGCACTTAATGATCATTAGACTCATGCGATTTGAGCGATCCCACTTCTCATAATCTCTTTTCTGTTCAGAGGTACTTGAATCCGTAGGAGTAAGGGGTTGCTCAGTCCTTATCGCAAGATTCATATCCATCCAACCAAGAATAATATCAATGTTCTATTTCCAGTTCTTAAAATTTGTTCTATTGAGGACCGGAACATAATTTAAATTGGCAGATACAGAAGCAATTATAAGCTTGAATTTAGAACACGAGAAATAAACTAATTATGCTCACATTATATAAAAATTAAATAATTATAAATATATATTCAAATAATGGTTTAACCTATCTCAAGACACCCAATGCACCATCAACATCAAGTCTTTGGACGGTAATATTAACTGCTAGAGGTATCTTGTTGTAATAATCAAACATTGACATTAAAGCACGTCCAACAACAAAGCGAGTCTTTGGATTGATTTATCATCGACAAAGCAAATCCTTATAATTATCACATGTTTATCATTACAAGTGTGTATGCAATTCGGCCAAATATTAATCTTCCTTTGGGCCGACTAATACTCGCATGAATATACACAAACACTAATATTCAATATTTTTCATGAACTACCAAATTCAAGAGAACTTACTTTGGTGACTTCTTGACTCAATTTGCTCATAAAAAATATTAAACTACCAAAAATTGAATATTTTATTTATATAACAAAACCAAATATTTAATATTTGCAAACTAATTCAAAAGAGAATCACCTCATTAGAATTCTACTAAGGATGAACACCTCCCTAGAATCTCATTAGGGATGAACACCTCATTTGAACAAATCAAATGATGAAAAAAGACCTCATTTTCCACCAATACATAAAGGATGAACATCTCCCTAAAATCACACTAGGGATGAAACAAAGATAGTTCTGAGTCTCTTTAGCATACTGCTCTAAACCCTAAAAGAGAATTAAACAGTAATCACTCAAACCCTAATTTAACATCAAATTTTCCTTAAATTCCTAGGGGATAGAGGCAATAAAATAATAACAGTCACACATGTGGAAACGTTCACCAGTTGCCTAAGATCATCTATGTTGGGAATTCTCCAAACACCACTCCCAATTCCAAACCCATAAAATTAAATAAAAACAAAAGATTCAAAAAAGAACAGAGAACCCAATACAAAAAAAAATTGAAATTTAAAACACTGTTTCTTTCTCAGTAAAACTTGAAACTTAAACTGAAACAAAAGGGAAAAACGAAGAAGAAGAAGAATATATAGCTTCCTCCACGGTTCCATCAGCAAGCAGAATCAGATTGGGGATGTTACCCCCAAATTTAAATTTTAGGGTTCACAAAAATTAGAGATTATCCTCCACTTAGGGTTCATAAAATTGGGTAATTTGAATTGTTTAAAACAAAATTAATCCTAATTTTCATAATTAGGGTTCTATAAATTAAACGAGACATGAATCAAATATGGGCGACTCGATACCAATTGTTGGAAAAACAATAATAATAATAATAATAATAATCCTGATTTTGATTCTAACGATCAAACATAAACATAATCCCATACTCGATAAACATGTAGTAACTCGAATGTGAAAGCGTACTCGAATTAACCATAACGATGATGTCTTTGTAGAGCACTATATTGATCTTATGGTCTTCCACCTGAAGAGCACATGTATTTCCCTCTTCATTTTCTCTCTTGATGGGGATAGAAAGAAAGGAACGAGACTGATATTTATGTTCTGTATGTGTGCTCCCAGAAGGGGACCACGACCCCTTAAAATAACCAGAATTAGGTTAATTACTTAAGTTTTAGTATTTCCAATTTGGCCCCTCATCAAATTAGAAATTGCTCAATGGTCTCTACACAATTTTATTTTCATGACATATGCCTTTAGCCAAAACTTTAATTAAGTCAGATCACTTTATTATTTGGCTTAATAAATAATGACCTTAACACATTTAAATTATGTATCATATATATACATGACCCAAATTTTTCTAATATGTAAAACATATCTTTCGAGAAGCTAGCAAGAATCATGTTGAATGAGAATACTCTCCTTAAATTCTTTTGGACAAATGCAATAAATATTGTTTATCATGTTCTTAATAGAGTATTGATAAGACTTTTCTTAATAAAAACTTCCTATGAACTTTATAAAGAAATATAACCTAAAATCACCTATTTCAAATTTTCCTTATGTAAATGTTTTATTTTAAACAATGGGAATGAAAATCTATGGAAGTTTCATATAAAGACTAATAAAGGCATTTTATTGGGTTATTCATCTCACAACTATGTATATAAAGATTACAATAAGAAGTTAAAGACAATTGAGAAATTTGTGCATGTTATCTTTGATGAATCTGCTCAAGATATATATAAAATTCTATTAAAAGAGATGTAAATGAAGAAGAATTAATTGCCTCTCTTAGTAATTTAAAATTGAATAATACAAAATTTCAAGCCTACAATCAAGAGCCTCTTATACAAGATCATGTTCCTCCATTCTCAAAGGAATGAATTATTTCAAAAAATTTATCACTATACATCATCATTTAACATATTGACAAAGGAGTAACTAGACACTCTCTAAATTACTTTTATAACCACATTACATTTGTATCTCAAGTTGAATTGATAAACTTTTAACTTGTCACCTAGATGTTATTAAATATTTTTGCAATGAAAATAATACAATATTAAAGTTTTGACCTAGATCATGTTCTCAAGAATAATTGATTTGTATTGTTTAAACTTGGATTTTTGTGAAAACTAAAAAACTATGATTTTTTTAAAGTTTAAGTGCAAGAAATATAAATGAAAGGAATAAAATATATATTCTTATTAAAAATAATAAATCAAAATATGTAAATAAAATCATTAAATAAAATAATAAGCCTAGACTATAAAAACATTAAAGGAAAAATTATAAAGTACATTGAATTTTAAAGAGTAACAATGTAAATAATGAAAAGCATTAAAACTACATTTTACCTAACGTTTAAATATCTAAAAACTATAAAGAAATATTGTGCCAAAAGGTAAAAAATACTAAGAAAAGAAAGGTTAAATATTTAATTATTATTTTTTTCATATTATTATCATAAATTTATAGAATTTTTCTTGCCATTACAATAAAAATTTCACAACATTTCTAAATTAAATCTAAAATTAAATTATAATATAAAAAAGATATTCATATCAAATAATCTTAATTAAATTTATTAAAATGAATTATAATTGATTAAAATCGTTAATAATTAAATCTAAACCATAAAAAAATAATTTTTTTATCAATAAAATAATAAAAAACAAATTTTTATCAATAAAACAACCAAAAAAATAAATTAAAACATGATAAAAAATAATAATAAAATCATGAAAATAATAAAAAAGATGAAGAATAATCTATCAATAGTATGTCTATTATATATTAATATAATATAATATTTATTAAATTCGAAATGATTTTTATTAAATATTGACTATGTTTGTTTGTATGGAATAATAAGATAGAATCAAATTGTTTCGAAATTTTAAAAAAGAAAAACCGGGTCTTATGTAAATCGAATCGAAACATCAATTAGAGGAAGAAAAAAAAGGTTCTCTATCTACAATTTAATTTTATGGTGCTTATAGTAGTAGTGAGGAAGATCTCTTGGCAAAACAATTTGGAATATCTTATGTGGAAGGGAAAGCAGAGAGAAAGATTTTTATCAACGTAGAACGTACACGTGATGGTAGTCCCTAGATTCAAGATAGTAATCCAAGGAAACTTTCTTTTTTTCTCACCATTAACTTATATTGTACCTTTGACTTTCCATATTTCCCTATATACGTTATAAACAAACAATTCTTAAAGAAAAAAAAATGTTCAATAACACAAATGATTTATTTTAAATAAACCATAGTGTCAAAAATTACATATTTAATTCCTTTAGAGAATTACGCGTAAGGTTTAAAAAATTTATATGACGTTATATACATTTTGATAATTTCTTCACGTCAAATAAAATAAATAATAAATTCAGTGTAAATTCTTACATTATTAACTAATTACAGACTACTTTATGAAATAATAATTTGAGTAAAAGTTAAACTATCAATAAAATAATTAAATTTACTGATTTTTATAATAAGATATAGTTTTCAATTAACTGAGAGTATAATAATATTTACATTATTATTTTGTAGAAAAAAAAAGTGAATTTGTATAAAGTTTTATTTGTAAAGTGAGTATGCACGCGGTATTAACGCTAACTTTTTGTCGCGAGAAATAAATAATAAATGGAAAAAGAATATATAACCGAAGTCGCCGGTAACAATGTCTGAGTCATTTCGTCAAACCCCTTTTAATTTAATATTTCACTATTTAATACACACATTATATATGTATATTCACTGCTCAATCTCCATTCTCCTCTCTCCTTTGCAAATAGAGAATTGTTCTTCTCCCCATTCGTGTACGCGCAAGAATCATGACTAGTTCCTCTGGTGCCGCTCGGAAGGTTAGCCCTAATCTTTTCCTCCTTCGATCTTTTCTCTTCCGTGTTTGTGGTCGTATTCGCTTTTAGGTTTAAATTGGGATCGTCGATATTTCAGAATCTCAGTAAGATTGCCTGTAATAGGCTTCAGAAAGAGCTCGTTGAGTGGCAGGTCAATCCCCCAACTGGTTTCAAGCACAAAGTTACAGACAATCTCCAGAGGTATCAGATTCCTCTAATTCGCCTTATAATCCACCTAACTTTCTCACTTTCCCCATCGCTTTTGCACAACCTGTCTTATTATTTTTCGATTTCGTTCCTTTAAATTGCTCCTTCTTTTTTTGTTTTGCTTTGTTCCTCTATGTTAGGTGGGTTGTTGAAGTGACTGGAGCTCCTGGAACACTCTACGCCAATGAGACCTACCAGCTTCAGGTCGATTTTCCCGAGAATTACCCCATGGAAGCTCCTCAGGTTCCACGTTCGCCCCTTCCGTACACAAATTAATCTTTAATTTAATTTGCACAGGCTGATTTTGATGTTCACTGGTTTAATCTTCTATTAATAACTCTTATAATACAGGTTATATTCTTGCATCCGGCCCCGCTGCATCCCCATATCTATAGCAACGGCCATATTTGTTTAGGTATGTGTATGGATTTTATAGTTACTGTGTATAAAAGCTGGCGGGATGTTCGGTATGTTATGTTTAAATTTTTTTCTGTTTATATTCCGGCACACCTTTCAATATAGGGTTTTGTTATGTGTTACTTTTTTTTTTATGCTTGTTTGAATGTTTACATTGTCGATTCTTTTAGACTCTTCTCTTCTTATTTTAGTAGAGACTTCGAAGTTATAATTTCGTGTTGAGAATTATTGGGAAGAGGACGGCGATTGGTTGGTTACATGTTTGGGTTCTCTCCGTACCTGAGAAAATCAATATTTCTTAGTAATTTGAAAAGAAAAATTCTTTTTTTTTTCCAAAAGAACTGTCCTAATTAATTAAAAGAAAATATATTGTTAACTATTGGGTAAAACATTTGAAAGTGAATGTTGTTACATTGTTGTTAGATATTCATTCTTTTAAGTATAAAAATTGAAAACTCTTAGGAACACTATCATTACTCGATTAAAAATTGAAAACGGATTACCTTCATATCTTTGCAGGGGTGTATCTTGGCTTGATACGCTCAAGAATGTAATTGGATGCTAGGAATGTTATTTTATATAGAGAAGTCAGAATTTTGGTCTTTCCTATGAATTGTTTTTCTTTTTGGTGTTTCAATTACTGCACATCTTGTTTTGTGTAGGTATTAGAAGGACAATTCACAATTCTAATTGTAGCTGTTTGCGATTTGGAAATTTGATAATTTGTTTCTGGTAAACTGTAGATGACACTGAATTGTATGATCCAGACTTAAGTTGATGTGATTCTGAAGTATAAAAAAAAGCATTGTGTATCAGACATGAAACATACTATTCAATAATTTGTTACTTTTTTTTCCCATTCCTAATTTCCTGTGAGACAAAATTCAGACAAACTCAAATATGTTAAATGGAAAGAATTCAAGGTGTTATTAAATATTATATAATTATTCCATTTCTTTGTTTCTCATTCTTCTGAATTAGGGGCTTCATAGTGTAATTAACACACTGACTCTGCATTCTCTTTGGTTGTTCCATTGCTCCATTTTCATTCTTCTGCAATAAAAGTCTGACACAGTCACCTGCTATATCCCCTAATTTTGCTGCATTTTCTCTGTATTATGCGGTTCCTAAGGCCTAAGGAGATAAAGGATGTTAACTCATAGCATTGAACTGAATCCTAAGGCCTAAGGAGATGAAGGATGTTAACTCATAGCATTGAACTGTTCTCGACAATATATTGCTGTTAGAATGAACTATCATTAATAGGAGCACGTATAGAATTATGACTTATGAATTTACCTATAAGTTGGCTTTCAATGACATTATGGTAGTATTGAAATTTACTTCTTCTTTGGTGATATGTGAGATTTAAGAACTATTTGATACTCTTGAATATTTCCTTAATGTTTTGGGTATTGAATCATGGAACTTTTTAATATTAATATATGAATCTCTCTAACCCTTATTACAAGATAAATTTTAGAAGAAATTGTTGGTCCTTATTATAAGACATTTGATAATTTCTATACAACTTTATATTTTTTTTGTTTTCCCCTATTAAATATTATGAATATTTGTGTTTTGTATTAATGAATATTGAGAACAGAATTTTAAAAGTCATTAATAATGAAGGTTAATTCAGTACAGGTAATTTTTTTTTTTTTAAATTCAACTAAATTAATTGCTGTCGATGGTCTGTGGTATTATATTAGAAGTGTTTTATACTAAGGACCGGAGAGTACGTAAAATCCTATGTATGATATTACATAATTCTTGAACAATGATTTCTGATATGATTCATAAATTGACAACATTGAGTATATTTCAATGTTAAATGTTCATCTTTTTCTCCCTATCTATTTTGGTTTGAGTTGCTTCTGTTGTTTTCTTTTCCTCCATATCTATTCTGGGATAAATTTAGTTGGAATTTGTAGTGCATAATGGTTTAAATTCTAAATGAGTTGTAAGATATTTGACTATGAGATACTGAACATGATTGGTAAGGAAAATGCTCATTTTGCCTTTTTCCTTCGCTGATTGGGCAAATGGTTATCGGTTATATCAAGAAATTTCTGTAAGGCCTGTCCCCCACCTCCTGGTTTTTGTTCTTAGAAATAGGCATTTGAAGCAGGGTAGCAGTGGAGAGAGGGTATGATTGAAGTTAGGAATGCATTATTTTCTCCTATATTCATTCATGGCAGTCTAGATATCCAATTACTATATTATACATTACAATCTACAATTTGTAAAGAAATTGTTTATAATTAAAAATAATCTTTTATCTTGATTTAAATCTTTCATTTGAAAGATTTTTATTTATTATGAATTTTAACTTTAATATGTAATATATATTGAAATATATTTTATTATAAACTTTAATTATATAAAATAAACATTTATAATGTATAATGATTGTGCTAAAATAATAGTAGATGATAATGCTCTCATTCATGCATGTAGGGTTAAGAGTGGGGAGGAATTTTAGAAGCACTTTATTTGCATCTGTCGTATGCTGTTAGTGTTAAGTACTAGGGCTTTACCTTTTTCATTCACGGATTTGATGTTTATAGCATTCTACTTTTACATAATCAATAATATTATTTTTATTTGCATATTTGATTTCTAAATTGAATTATGACTATTTGGGGCTTGACTGTTGAGAGATGGTGTGGAACTTCAAAAACATGAACTTTTATTTATGATGTTGTCGGTATGAAGTAGTTAAAAGTGGTCAACCTTTTACTCCTGGGAATTTGACATTTGTAGAGTTATACTTTGACATAATCGATAATATTATTTATTTACATATTCAGTTTTAAAATTGGAGAATCAGCTCTGAAACCCCATTTATTATAGTTTGTAATTGTAATACTTTATGCTTGTCCATTTTTTTCTATCTAAATTCAGATAAACTAGTTGCTGATTTTTAGTGGTCAGCTGGCATTTAATATGCTTGGAATTATGCAGATATATTGTATGATTCTTGGTCTCCTGCCATGACAGTTAGTTCCATCTGCATCAGTATTCTCTCAATGCTTTCAAGCTCGACCACAAAGGTGCGAATCTATTTAATGTGAATATTGTATTTTACTAATTATTCCATGTGCTGTGAGAGGATTAATGGACACATAAACCTGCTATATTTTTAACCAAAGTTTTAATAACCAAATTATATAGTTGGTTATTACTTAATATTCTACAAGTTGAATTTAGGTAGGTTACTTCCATCATTAAATGGGTGTCATGTTGCCTGATAAACGCTTGTCTTGATTTCTTTGGCAGCAACGCCCTGAAGATAATGATCGCTATGTAAAGAACTGCAGAAATGGCAGATCGCCTAAGGAGACAAGGTGGTGGTTCCATGATGATAAAGTATAATAAAAAGTTTCTCTAATCCACAAAAGGTAGAGTAGAGGATTATCCTTTTGAAATCAAAATGAAATGGGAAAATGCATTTTGAGAAATGAGGATCCTTTACATTAAATGGATAATAACTCTGCTGTAAATTGGCATTGTCTGATATTTGTAAAGGAAGGGGAAACTATGTGTCTTAAGCAACTTAAGGAGCAAACAAACTCAAAAACATTGTGGTTAATCCAGAGGTATTTGGATGTGGATATAAATGGTCTGATTAACTTATAACTTGTGTTTAATACCTCTCTTAAGAATTGTCCATCATATCTCGTAATTGACTAGATGCATTGCTGATATTTCAAGTTTCAGTAATGATATAAAAAAAATCCTCATGTTTACATCTTATAATGATCTTTCTCTCTAATGCATCTTAGAAAACGCACCCTCATTTTGTTGGGTAGGAAAGCTTTGAGCTTGGAATGATTAACCCTTCTTGCCCAACGGGGGAGAAATTGTTATTATGCTTATTTTCATTGAATATTTTTTATTTCTGTTAATCAAAAGAAAATCGGGAGGACTAGTCAGTAAGGCATAGTTTTATTCGTACGTCCCTGACGGTGGATAAGGATTCTCTGCAGGTAAAACTGACGGTAGATGGTCGACATAATAAACAAATTTTGGAACGTTTGTCCTAGTAACCAGATTCAACATCTTCGTAATTACAAATATCTTTTCTAGTAGTAATAAAACAGATTAAGCATACTCGTAATTATAAATATGGTGTTAATATTATTTTATCCGATATTTTTTAAGTGAAGTTTTGCAAGAATATAAATATGAGTAATTATCAATAATTATGCAACTATGATTATATATCAAGTGAAGTTTTGCAAGAATATAAATGAGTAATTATCAATAATTATGCAACTATGATTATATATCAGTGCTGGAGGTGCAGCATAATTATTGATTTGTAAAGAATCATGTTCCAAGTTGAAAGTCTTGTGGTTGTTAATTGTTAACAGTATTAAGGGGAATTATTTTTAACCTTTCTTGTCATAAAAAATTTTATTCTTTATCATCAAAGAGAGACAAATATAATTTATATCTATCTTATATTTTTTTCTCTTAAATGTAAAATAATAAATAAAAATAATAAAAAATATAATTTCTTTCTTATTTCTCTAATAATATAATATTTTGGATTTCTCTCTTCTTACATCAAGATGGATGATGTACAAGGAGGATTTAAGACTTGTTTATCTATTATTCTTTGGAGTGGTTTTCAAATTTTTAGGACTTGGATGATTTAATGGTTTTAAAATAGTTTAAAGATTAATTTTGAAAATATATTTAAAAAAAATTAAAATTACTTTAGACAAAAATAAAACATAGATAATCACAAAAATTAATAAATAATTTAATGTAATTAATGATACAAAAGTTAAAGTTAATTGATTAAAACAAAATGTATTTTATTAGTTTTATTTATTTTTTAAATAAAAATAAAGACAGTTTGTAAAATCTATTTTAACAAAGCAGTTATCAAATGTTTAATTTTTAGTTTTTAAAAAAAAAACTTGTTTATAGACCATTTTGTTAAAATTGTTTTAAAAATTGTTTTTCTTTATTAACTTTTGAAGAGTAAAAAATAAAAAAATGAAATAAGTTTTTTTTTTTAGATTTTTATCAATAAATATATCAAATCACCCATTTAATATCATAAAATTATTTAAATTATTTTTAACTTTTAGTACCATTTTTTATAATTATTTATATTATTATCTTTTATTTTAAAGCTATAAAAATATAATTATCAAACATTTTTAAAAATAGTTTTTCAAATTTAATTTTTAAAATTATTTTGAAATTTTTTAAAATTAAATTAAATCATAAAAGTCATATTTTGTTTAGAGAATTCCAGAAAATTATTATTTTTCAAATTTGAATAAAATATTTATAAAATTTCCTATTTGACCGTTTTTATATCTATGTCTAAGTAAATACATATATTAAAGTAATAATACCATATGCAATGTAATTATATATTAATCACACTTTATTAATATTTGTCATACTCATTTATATTCCTCTAGCTTTTCATAAACTGCGTAACTCATACATTTTTTTTAACTGTTGGAAGAAAGTTAATCATAGACAGCACCAGTGATAATACCATTTTTAACGTATTCTTTTAATATTTGAAAAATATGCATTAGTATTAATAACTTTAAGTAAAAAAATTTATAAATACTCGAATTGGAGGTGATATAATAAATTATTTTTAAAATTATTAATATTTTTATTAAATAAATTATAAATATAATAGCAATAAGTAAATGGTGAAAAATATTAAGAAAAAGAATGATTTTTTTAAAATAAAAAAAATATTGGAACAAATTGAATCGTTGGTTGTTTAAATACAATATTGCGTAATAAATCTATATATTATATTTCTCAATATAAAAATAAGTACTTTTTATTATATTATATTTCTCAATATAAAAATAAGTATTTTTATCTCCTACCTTCATCTGAAGATGTTGCTGTTTAAATCTTCTTTTCCCTCTCTGATTTGTTTTCTTTTGTTGGGATTTTTTTTTCAAATTTATTCATTTATAAGCTAGTTATAAAATCATATTAGCGAGAGTGATGATGATATTTTGAATTCACACAAAAATAAAAGTAGACTTTATCACCATTTATCTTCTTGATACAAAACTACTAAGAATGATTTAACAATTACATTAAATATAAACACAAATTTAATCTTATGTTATATAATGTTAATATAGTATGAAAGGACACCATTTTTAAGAAACAAAATAAGTTTTTTCACTTGTAACATATATTCTATTCGTTTCGATCATCCACACACCATTTTTTAAAGTTGAAATCAACTGTTTAAATGGTTTCAAACCAAAATTTAATCCCTTAATTTGAAAATACAATGAAAGTCATGATTTTATACCTATTCCTATTTGTCTTGAATTAGTAGAATTCAAAATCAAATGATTGATAACATTTTATTGAAAGTTGTTAATGAACGTTTTTAAAAATAATATATATGGTTTTAATGTGAGCAAGTTATTTATATATATAATGTTAAGAAACTTTAATGGTAAAATTCATATTAAAATAATATATTTTATTTTTAAGAATTCATATAAATAATTTTTACTAGATATATTTTAGTAACCAATAATAATTATATATGAAATATCATCTCATAACAAAAATTATATATATATATATATATATATATATATATATATATTAAAGGTTTAAATTAAGTCCAATTTTTAAATTATTAAAAAAATTAAAACCATATTTTTTAAAACCCATTTCTAAACAATATATTAATACCTTTTGAAAATGTTTTATATTAAACAAATCTCCAAGGAAAAAAAAACATTTAACCTAATATTTCCTTAGTAAAATAAGAATAGTTAAAATGAAATGTGTGAAAAAATAGTAAATATAATCACTGCAAAACATAACTAATTCATAATGTAAAAGGAGAATACATTAAAATAATACACTAGTAACTTAGAAAAAAATTATATGAAATTTATGTTGATCGCAAACATTATACCATACTTACACGTTAGTTACAGAACTTTTTAGTTAATCCTTTCCTGATAGATTTTGTTATAGATTAACTGTGAATTAATTAAGGAATAATTCATCTTTAAATCTAATTAATTAATTAAATAGTGAAAGATATATTATATTATTACGTAGTTTGTTGCTAAATTTCTCGTTTATTGAAGTAAAAATATTTTATTTTTCTTTAATTAATTGATTGCATACATTTCTCACTAGGCTAAGCTGTCCTAATTTGTTCTCATTATTCTCTCGTAAAATATTTTATCATTATTCTGTAACTAACCTCTGGCAAATGTATTTTTGTTAATGTATAACTAACCCTCACAATTTTTCTCTCCTGAATGTGTTATCTATCGCTAATCTGTAAATAATCATTCATAATTTTTTTTTTCACTAATCAATAGTTAATCACTCACAAATGTGTTTATAATTTTTCTCTCACTAATTAATAATTATTCTTTCATCAATTTGGTCTCACTTGTAACGAATTTTTCGTCAATTTGTTCTCACCCGTAACTAATTTCTCACAACTTGAATTCACTACTTTATAATTAATCCCTCTGTTAGCATTCCATATTTGTTATTCAAACAATACAATACCTATGTATTTTTGCAAAAATTAAATGTAAAACTTAAAATAAAAATATATAAAAAATATTAAAATTAATCAAATTTCGATATCCAGAAATAATATTTCAAACATTTGATAATATAACCAAAATAATAACGGTCTCGCCGTTGGCCTGGGCTAACTAAAAAAAGTATTAAAAAGGCAAGCCACTAACAACCAATGTATCAGAGCATATAAGAAGGAAACCCATCCCAAACCCTGCTCTCTCTACGCCATCGTGTTTACGTGTTGTGTCTGTCCAAAGTAAGGAGATACACAAACCAACCAAGTAACATTTTTCCTCTATTGTCTTCTCTTCACTAATGTTAATCAGATTCCTACCTTTGAATGATGGAGATTATAGATATAATGAGAGAAACAAAGCATAAACACTTACACAAAAATGAAACAGAGGGTATCCAAAGCAGAGCATGATAACCCTCTGAATATGGCACAACATTAAACATAACACTAATCGTTGAACACTAGAACTGCAATGAAATCAGAAAACTAACCAGTTGAAGAACAACCTTCACCCCTTTTCTAGAACTCGGAAAGCCCTAATCGAAAGTTTCGCTCCTTCCAAACCCTTCTAGGTAGGTGTGAATGTTGCGCCGTGACTGATGAGCTGATTTTGGGAGAAATGTTAGGATTGGAATTTGAGAAATTATTTGAGGACAGTAAAATTTGTGTGAAAATGAGAAGAGATGAGACGAGAGACAAACCAATGTTTCTGTTACTTTATTCCTTCTATTTCAATTTCATGCGTGTGAATTAATTTAAATATGTCCCGAAAAAGTTAATG